CTCTCTCTCTACTCTTTCTCCTCCTTCCTCTATTCTTTCTCCTTTTTCGAACCTGAAATTTATTAGTGCTCAAGACTGATAGCAGTCTTGAACAACTACAACCTTGTTCTCTTGCCTCTTGATGCTCGTACTTCTGCTTCTGCTAATTCTTTTGCCCAACATATCCATGATTTGCATGCCAGTATAAAATGAAAAATTGCTTTGAGTAATGAAAACTATAGACTTGCTGCAAATGCACATCGCAGAAATCAAGAATTCACTGAAGGAGATTATGTCATGGTTCGTGTGCATCCCGAGCGTTATCCAAAATACTCCTTTAAAAAGTTATATGCCCGAGCCAAAGGCCCATTTTGCATCATCTGAAAGATAGGGCCTAATGCATATGAACTTGATTTACCTTTGGATATGGGAATTAACTCAACTTTCAATGTGGAGGATTTGTTTCCTTATCAAGGCACCTTCGAGCCTCCTACTCTACCTGCAAGTGTGCCCACAACCAGCACTGCTTCACCTTCAGTTCCCATACCCATTCTACCACGAGTTCAGTCTTCACATGCCGAGCAGATTGAGAGTACTCTCCAAGATGAGGTTATCACCTCCAGGCTAGGTGGTTTTCAGCGTTATCTTGTGAAATGGAAAGGCCACCCTAACACCGATGCTACTTGGATTTTAGAAGAGGAACTTCATCACCTAGACCCAGATATATTGGAGCAGTATCATTCCCTTACCTCTCCTGAGGAGAGTTCTTTTCCACCGAGGAGAATTGATGGAGATCACTTTGAGACCGAAGCACCACAAAGAATTCGTACTTATTTTAAGCATAGACGGCATTAGCTTAGAGTTACTTGGATTAATGCACAATTTGGGTTTAATTGTAAAATTTCTTCTTAGTAAGGGGGCTATTTGTAATTTTCATATTTGGTGGGGTTTAAAGTGAACTTTCATATTTGGTAGGGACTTAATTGTAACTTTCAATTCTAGGTTTCTTATAAATACAAATACACATTATGTTAGGGTTGTATGACATTATGTTTTCTGAGAAATAGAAAGCTTTCATCTTTCAAACTTCCTCTCTTCCTTCTCTTCTTGTCTTCTTTCTTCTTCAACTTTCTTGTAACAGGTGGTGGTTCTGCATCAAGTCTTCTCTCCCACCCTTTCTATTTCCTTCCAGGATCAACTTTTGAACTTACCGATAAAAAAGCAGTTTTTTATTAATGTTTTTTTTGGCAGCAGAAAAGAAGTTTATTAAAACGATAAATGGAGCTAATACATTCAATTAAAAGGACTGTCCACCCAACTCTAGAACAGAATTATATAGTAGCCCAAAAGAGTTGCTGCCTTGAAACCCCTTGTTTGGCAAGGGCATCAGCCATCCCATTTGCTGTCCTTCTCACCCACTTGAAGTCAACGTTAAGGTCCTTTGCAATACTTCCCACTTCCCTAAATGCATGTCTGAGAGTCCAGGGGATGTGTATATTGCAACTTACCAAGGAAATAATTAGCTTTGAGTCCCCTTCCACCTCCACCTGTCTATAGCCCAACTGTTTTGCTAATCTTAGACCCTGTAGCAACACCATCAGTTCAGAATTTAAAGAGTCTCCCATTCCAATAGGCTCTGAATATAGTGCTAATATCCTGCTTTGAGAGTCCCTGAATACACCTCCTATTCCTGCCATGCCCAGGTTTTCAAAAGAGCTTCCATCAAAGTTCAGTTTTACCCCATTGCCTTCTGGAGGTTTCTAAACCATCCTTACCCTGTCTTTTGCTCTAGAAGAAGCGGTTTTTTATTAGTTAAAACACTTAGGTGCTATAACTTTTCAGTAGCATAGAAACTGCCTATTACACTTTATTTTTTAACCAACAAAATTTACCTATCAAAAAAAGTAGTAAATAAGAAAGGCATTGACTAATCAAAAATTTTCAACCTACTTTTTCCAACATGGTAAACTCAAGGCTTGACAAAAATAGAGACCATCAAACTGAAGCCCAAGACCAGGCACAAGACCAGTCTTGGGAGGAAAAGGAAGCAGTTTCATAATATCTTCAAATTTAGAAGTGTTGCCCATGTCCATTCAAGAATGCATGCACCAGAAGTTCAATCCATTTTAGTAGTGTAAACTTTTTTTTGTGATTGATTAGTAACATGCACTTGTATATTTTGAGTTGTCATCAATCAAAAGAAGAAGAGGTTACATACAGTCATAACTCCAGTTGCTGCACTGACACCAGCTTCACCAAAAATGGCTGTTGCTGCCTCTGTGACTAACGCAGTTGCTCCAATGTTAACCACACTGAGTATATATAATAAAGACAACCATAAAAAACCAAGGTTGAGTTGAACATTTCAAAGGATTTTCATTAATAAAAATGTCAATATGAAAATTAAAAGGGAGTACGTTGTGCCAATAAGAATTGTTGTCAGGAACCGTGTAACATCACTGCGAAGCATTCTGAAAACACCATTTTCAGGCTCTTTCTCAGCCAATTCACGCACCTGATTAAAAAACCACAGATGCAAAGCTTAGATAATTAATGTGATTACCAGATTCTTGAAGCTAGACGTCTATTAGACAAACAAATAGAAAAACCTTGACATAAATAAATAAAATATTCAAGCAATGAATTTTGAGTTAGTAATGTCTTTCTAATAGGGGCCATTGAAAGGAATACAATGAAGACCATGGCTTCCAACTCTTCTAACTGATCTAATTCACCTTAGATACAAATCCATCCACAAGCCCAGGGCCCCCAAATTGGATATGCTATTAGATGCTTAATCTTTACTAGTTTTCCAATGCTTGATGGCATTGTATATTTGTATGTGATTACATGACATAAATGCATCCATCTGGAAACATTTCTCTGAATTTGATTGTGTTCTTTCCTTAGTATTCTTTTTTTTTCTTCTGCATCATTTGGTTCAGAATAAAGCCCTGCTTTTCCCTTTTGCTTGCTGAGGAAAATATCTAGTAGCTGTTTGATACCATTGCTGTTTATGCAACATTAGCACCATGTAGGCATGATACTTTAAGCACCTACTATTCTTGTTTGGTTAAGGTGTTTATAAAACTCTTTTTTAAACACCTCGCGTTATGTGAAAGCTACCTTTGCAAGGAACGCCAAAATGAAGTTTCTTGCAATGGTGCCAATGTTTTTACTTTTTAGACTATATGATGCCTAATGGCACCTAGCTGCCATAAAAATAATAAAAAATGTGCACAGATCCCACTGCTACTTTTACAATTTCCCAGGCATAACATTTCCTGAGAAAATGGCAATGGTACCAAACATGCCCCTAGTGATCAATTCCATTTGTTTCAGAACATGATACTGTAGCTAAAGCCAATATAGATTTATCCATTGTGATTTCAACCTGTTCATGGAATTATTTCCTCTTTTCCACATGAAGAACCAAATAATCTTTGAAGCCATCAACTTGAAGTCCATTTCAGGGTAAACACAGTAAGAATTACTAATGACCTAAGATGCCTAGATATATAAACCCACACAGCTAGTAAGAGTAACATGGATTTAGAATTTCATTTCTCAAAATACACAGTATGTTTTTGGATAATTGAACATTAATTTACTGTTTAATATGCTGGTACCAAGTGAAGTTTATAGTTATTCATTCACCATAGAGTAGTGCTTAATACGAGTATGTTGAACATGCTTAGCCATCCAGGTACCATAATTACCAACTTCCTCTGATGCCAAGATAGAATGGGGGGAAGGGATATCTATGAATCTTCAAAGGCATATATTCCATGTCCTTTTCATGATATACAATTATACATATTAAGAACCACTATTAAGTTCCTCCAAAGAAGGGTAGTTTCTTTGTGCAATGGTAAAATCTCAGGCTGACAAGCATGAGAATAAAGGTTCAAGTCTAGGACTGGCCACTTCATAAGGAAAAATGCATATGGTTAGGTTTAGGTCTGTATTCAATCCACCCCTCCCAAGACCCCAGATAGCTGGAATCAACATTGGGACTTGGGTAATGGCCCTTTTTTAAACTACTTCCTCCAAAGAACCACTAAGCACTTCATGTAATACTTGGATGACAAATAAGACTAAAAAGACCAAGAGATCAGACCGGATGAAATTAGAAAAAACAAAGATTTCTGAAAGCATTATATTCCTCCACTAGGAACACTTCTTGTTTTCCAACTGGTTTTTCTGAATTAATCTGAGCCAATGGTTTCTCCTGTTTTTGCCTTTATATATGGTTCACCCATTCCCTTGGTTTTCCTCTTGTATATCTGCAATAAATATGTGAAAAGAATATCGGAGTAGTTGGAGACTTGGAGCACAAGTCAAATGGGTATTATCATGAAGATTTCACCAAAGCTTAAAGCATATCACAGACCAATATGCTGGTTTTAACTCCAAAAAGGAGATGGGATTCCATTGAAATGATTTCTATAATCTAGTTATATGTATGCATGGGATCCTTCAAATGCCATTAAAAAAAAGTAATAATAAAGTTGTCAAAGAGTTCATACCAAACCACTGGCATCTCAGCAATGTCATTACCACCAGATCAGTAGGCTAATCATAATTTGATTTTGTCTATCATTAATTCATTATCATCTCCCAAGAATATTCAATAACTCCTAAATTCACAGCTTCATTGGTTAGACTACCAGAAATGTAAGAGCTTTAGGTTTCTCTTGTTTGTTATTTCTAGGAGGGACCAGTGTCTCAGCAATGTCATTGCTTCCATCATGCGTTTGTGCACTTAGGTACATTTCCAGGCATGGATCCGTACTTCTCTCGTGGTAAAACGGCCCAAGTTTCATGATCTATGAACACCAAGTTGGACAACGAAAAAAATAATAATACTAACTCCATAGTTGCGACTTGCATACCTTCCAAGGCCATAGCGTCGTTATTGAGGTCTCCGCCATGGAAAAGAATGCAGAAAGACCCAAAAGCACAGCCAAAATCAAGCCTTGTTCTTTAAAGAAACATAAACCCTGTAATAATTTCGGCCACACATCCCGAAGTAACATCCCACCCTGTCCAAATGTTCTGTAACCCGCACTCAGAGCCCCTTCCATTGCAAAAACTCCTTGGCACCCAATCACAAAAGCCCCACAAACCATAACGACTAACAAAAATCCACGCTTGACCAACACCTCATAAAACTCTAACTTGACATCGGCAGAGCCTCCCACTTTCCCGGTGTCCTTTTCTCTTATCACAGAATCCAAATAGACGCTACCGTTTATCACCTCATCCTCCGGGAACTTCGACTTGCAGGCATTTCTGAGAATATGAGGATGGACGCAATTTATCGTCATCAGACGAGGATGAAGCAGAATTCTTGGCGACGTCCGGGCTGAGATTCTCAGTTGACGATTGCATAAAGCAAAGAATGAAGACTTCCCGCCATAAAAGAATGTAGGTCGTTCGAGAATTGAAGCTTTTGTTCTTAAATTCATCGACATCGAACTCTTCACGAGGTAAAAAGCAACGGGATTCTGAGAGAAATTTATACAAAACAAATAGGGATAGAATGTATTTTGGTTCACACTGATGTAATTGAGTCGTATAGCATTTTTTAGGGCGGAAAACCCTTAAAAATCTGAACAGCCAATTTGCTTGCGCCGTGGCGAGCTGTGTTCGTCGTCATCGTCGTTGAATCCGTTCCGTTAGGGATTCTACTTGGGTCGGGCTAGCCTGAACCCATCACAAAAAGCAGTTTATTGGGTCGGGTTGAAGCTCATGAATCCGGACCATTTTTTTCATCCATTAGATTTTTAAAGATGTTACGATTTACGAATATGATACATTGTAGAGTTCAGACCGCCTTCCACCGCTCCGGCACCGATTGTATTCTGTGCATCCAGTGATGAACCCACGCCTACCAGGTGCGAACAAAGCGCGGATCTCCTGTAAGTAAACACTCTCGCACAGGGAATCCCGTCGCATGCTAATACATCTCTTGCAAGCATTTATGAGAATACGAGTGATGTTGTGCAATCCGGACACTCCTAACTGGCTCTTAATTGGCAACGGACGACACCTGAGAAGAAGAGGGTGAAGAATTCCCGGTGGGAATACTCCGATGCTTAAGTTAGAACGCTGGGGAAAAAATAGTAAAGAGTGCAAAGAGGCTAAGAGTGTAGGTCGCGCTAGATCAGTGAGTGTTCAAGATTAGCTCGAGAGCAAGTAAGATGATTCAAGATCCAAAAATCATATCCATCCCTTTCGACAAAGGGGCTTTTATAGGGGCGTTCTTGTCAAATCAGGCGTAACCGCCACTGGGCTTCTGTCGCAGCCGTTATCTGCCAGGGCTATGCAGGTGACCGTTGCAGGGTCTACCCAATTGGATGAGTGACACGTCCCGGGAGGACAGGCACGCCACCATCTGCTGAGAGACGTAGGTGCAGTCTGTTGAATGGGCAGGGACTGCGTCGTCAGTCTAGAGACGTGGCGCAGTCTGACGGGTACGGTCTTGTCAGATAGAAGCTTCCTGAGAGTGTCGCGTTGCTTAGTCGCAAGCTACCCTGTCGCATAGCGGGCTATCCTGTTGCGAGCTACTTTGTATCGAGCTCCTAGGGGTACTTCGAGGTGATCCTTCTCAATATTGTCTTTGGGGCAGTTTTTCTGCCTAAGTGTTGGAGCGAGCTGGTTACCCTAGCTCGCGAGCTGGGATAGTCTTGGAGTATTCCCTTTTGGTAGCTCGGGGGACCTTGAGCTCGCGTTGTAGTGAGCTCCCTTATAGCGAGCTATGACGTAGCAAGTTGTCCCGCGAGCTCATTACTTGGTCACAATCAGGCTATGGTGCTGAGCTGTTGCTCGTGCCGAGTTAGGTCCACGTGTCATCGTCTCAAGGGGTCGAGTCAAATCATCCTCCATCAATTGCCCCCCACTCCTCGGGCTAAGAGTGCTACCTTAGCATGAGGAGTTCATGAAGTGTGACCGGTGGATTTGACCGAAGTTCAAACTTGATTGACTGCTCGCACTAAATGTGTGCGTGGGAATCAGGGGATTTCTGACTTTTCGAATGCCAAGAAACACGCTGAAGCGGCTCTTAACTCCAGATGTCGTGCAGCCGTCATTACCTCAATCAAGGGAGACGTGCAGTCAGTCACATTCCGGTTTCAAAAGGCATGCGGTCAGCTTGACTGTGGAACGTCAAATTTGTCTCAATTTGGGTCGTTGATCTAGGGGCACAGTGGTTATAAATAGGAGGGCCCCCTAGGCCTCATTTTATTTCGTGCTAACTTGCTTTGTCTTCGAATTCTGAGGTCGCGCATCCATCTAATCTGCCCAAGCTCTTCTCCTGTTCACACCGTTTCATCTTTTCCAGTGAGTATTCATTCTGTCAATCATGTCTGGGTATCCGTACCACGTTTATCCCCGGAACGGCAACCAGGATGCCCCCCCTCAAGCTCAGGGAGAGCTTGGGAGCAGGCTTCAGAGGCTCGAGAGGCCTCCGAAGAGGTGACTTCTACTTCTCGGGGCAGAGAGCCCGACACCTTCGGTCCCTCCTCTATAACGACTGAGAGACTTAGATCTCTAGTTCACTACTTTAACCTTCCCGGGACCTCATCTACAGTCTCCCCTCCGGTAACTTTCCCTGGGAGCATGGTCACAATGACATAGTGATTTTCTAGGAACAGCTCCAGGCTGCCCTGCGTCTTCCTCAGCACCCTCTAATAGTGGAGGTGTTGAATCATTTCAACGTCACCATTGACTAGCTCTATCCCAATGCCATCCGGAATGTAGTTGGGACTATTTCTCTGTGCTATGAGTATTGTCTTCCCCTTGATCTTAATATCTTTTCTTCCATTCCCTGCATCAAGAATGCTACTCCCGAAGCGCCTCCGGAAAGGCGTTCCTACTACTTTTCTCCCCGTTGCGGCTTCAAGCTCTTGCACGAGGTGCCGAACTTCTTGGAGGGGTGGCCCTTCCCAACTTCTTGGAGGGCTGCCATCCAGAATTCTGGGGTTGAGTTGGACCCTGAAACTTGGAAAACGCTGCTATCCTGGGCAGCAGTAGGCCTTCTTTGTTCAGACTACTTTACCGAGGAAAACTTCGCACAGGCTGGCCTGAGTCCAGGTAGGTTGCCTTTTAGGTCGCGTAGTGCCTTGTAAAAATACACACACACATATATTCTTTTTTTTTACTGGACTAATACCTTGTGGTTTTTTGGCAGCCATCATGTCTGGTGTTGACGCACGTCGCCTTCTTTCCAGCAACCAAAAGCGTAAGGTGAAGAGGTCGCGTCCTGACCGAGCTTCCACTTTTGGGGGCACTGAGTTCGAGTCTGTTGAACCAGACTTTGTTTCTCCCAAGGCAAGGGTTGTTTCCTCCTGGGCCTTCCCACCCATTCCCCTACCCGCAGTTCCCGGTGGGGAACTAGGAGGGTGTCAATGATTACCTCGTGATTGGGCGGAAGAGCCAAAGGGCGATATGCCACGAGGAGGTCGCTAGGTGGGGGGAGATAGAGCCCAAGGCGCTCGCCGCTTCTCACTGTATAGTGGTAAGTGGTCTTTTCTCTTTATTCTCGTTCTTTCCTTTCTTTTCCTGTTTTCTGACCTTAGTCTCTTGTTGGCAGGTGAACTCCACCATCCACGCCATGGCCCTCCAGACCAACATTCACTCTGGCGACGCTCGCAATCAGAGGGCCAACGTCCAGAAGCTCCAAAGCGAGCTCGACCAGGCCCGAGGTGAGATCCTTCAGGCTTGCAAGGGGAGCGAGGCCCAGGATCTGCTCGCCCGTGACCAGGAGGCGCAGATCGCCAGGATTTTTGAGGAGAGTGCGCGCTACAGGGAGGAGTCGAGGGTGGCAGCGGAGAGGGAGCTCCTTCACCAGCAGGTTCGAGACTTGGAGTCTACACTTCTGGACCGAACTCGGAACTTCGACACCATGGTGGAGGCCGAGCGGGCTAGGGCAGTTTGGAACTTCAAGGACTCCCAAGAATATCACGACCTCCAAGTGGAGTATGGCTCGAGCTCGTACCGCTCCGGATTCAAGCTCTACCGTTGGTTGGCTCGAAAGAAGTTCTCTGGGCTCAACCTCGACGGCATCACAATGAAGGGCCTGGCTTCCGAGATGGCGAACCAGGAAGAGGAGGAGGAGCCTGACTCCCCAAAGGACGAGGTGGAGGAGGTGGACCCTTGAGGCTGGTGGCTCTTCTGTTTTTCTATTCTTCTGATTGACTTTTGGTGGTTCCCGGGTGCCAGAACCCGGTTTTCAAAAATCTTCTTCTTGGGCAGTTGTGCCCCTTTTTACTTCTTGTTGAACTTTCCCGAGCTTTTAGCTCGGTTTTTATATATGAAATAGTAATGAAATTTTTCCTTTTTCTGCTAAGTATGGTGTGCTCTTTTATTTTTTGCCAAAGCGATCTCATCACTCGAGCTATTAGAGCTACAAACCTGAAATAGGATTTTTCGGTAATTATTACCCCGAGCTATCCCTTAGTGTTTTGAGGCATTTTTATAGTATACCACGAAGTAGTTACCGTGTATGCCTGAACTGTATGTTAGTAGGTTGTTCCTTATTTGGTTCAACCGATGTACTAAGATGAGCTATGCTTCGTAAGGTTCAGACCCGAGCTGCTTACGTCTCTGGTACTTCATACTTCACCTTTACCAATGAAGCGGCTAAGTCTTTCACGGTGCCGAGGTCTTAGTTATCTCGGTGTTTTAGCCCTTAGGCTGAGGGGGTAACTTATAGTCTACCCTTGGAGTTTGCCCATGCCATGGAGGCGACTGGGTCTTATTGCGCCGAAGTCGTGTTAGCTCGGCATTTTGGCCCTTAGGCTCTGAGAGTAACACTTGGTCTACTCAGTAGTTTGCCCATGCCATAGAGGCGACTAGGTCTTATTGTGTCGAGGTCGTGTTAGCTTGGCATTTTGGCCCTTAAGCTTTGAGAGTGACACATGGTCTACTCAGTAGTTCGCCCATGCCATAGAGGCGACTGGGTCTTATTGCGCCGATGTCATGTTAAATCGGCATTTTGGCCCTTAGGCTTTGAGAGCTACTCATGGTCTATTCAGTAGTTACAGGTAATACTGCCTTAAGTTGACAATATTCCATGCCCAAGGTACTTGTTACCCTTCAAGGGTTTCGAGCTCGTACGTTCCTTCCCCGAGCACTCGTTTCACTCGGTAGGTCATTCCCAATTCGATCCGAGCTTGCCAACGCCGGGCTCAGGTACCCTAACTTTACGAAGGACCAGGTCGCCAACGCGGAGATTCCACTTCTTGACTCTGGCGTTATAGTACCGAACTACTCTTTGTTGGTAAGTTGCGGTCCTGATATATGCGAGGTCCCTTACTTCGTCGAGTAGGTCGAGGTTAGTACGTAGCTCATCTTCATTTGCCTTGTCGTCATATGCTTCCAGTCGTAGCGAGAGAACCTCGATCTCAGCTGGGATGACTGTTTCGGTGCCGTAGGTGAGGTTGAAGGGAGTCTCTCCTGTGCCGGTCTTCTCTGTGGTTCGGTAGGCCCATAGGATATTGGGTAGCTCGTCCGCCCATAGTCCTTTAGCTCAGTCTAACCGTGCCTTCAGTCCGCGGAGGATAGCTCTGTTTGTGACTTCTGTTTGACCGTTTGCTTGAGGGTGTGCGACTGAAGTGAAGTTCTGTCGGATCCCCATGTTTTGGCACCAATTCTGAAATTTAATATCCTCAAACTGCTGACCGTTATCAGAAATCAGTACCCGAGGTAACCCGAAACGGCACACTATGTTCTTCCAAAAGAAGTTCTGGACGTTTCGGGCTGTGATCGTTACGAGAGGTTCAACTTCTACTCACTTGGTGAAATAATCCACTGGTACCACTAGGAACTTCCTCTGGTCTGTCGCTGGTGGAAACGGTTCGAGTATATCGATCCCCCATTGTAAGAAAGGCCACAGGCTGGTAAGATACTTGAGGTCGGCGGCGGGCTGATGGTGGATATTGGCATGCTTCTGGCACTTGTCAYACTTTCTMACGAGCTCAATAGCGTYTGCTTTCATTGTTGGCCAGTAGTACCCCTGTCGTAGTGCTTTTTGGGTGAGGGCCCTCATGAGTGTCGTGGAGTACGAGCTCGGCTTCTGAAGGTCACAAGCAGCGCAGGTAGGGGAGCGTGTAGGAATCTTCGGTACAGCCGTTCGTCTATCGTGACGTATTTGGCCACCTGGCGCTCTACCCTTTTGGCGGCATTGCGATCTGAAAGGAGGGTCCCATGTAGCAGGAAGCTCGCGAGCGGGTCAATTCAGCTCGACTCTGCTTGAATGACAAGAGCGACCTCCTCTGCCCCCCCGATAATGCTAGGCCGAGGCAGACTCTCTATGTGCACGGTTCTCATGGTGTTATCACAAGTGCTAGCTAACCGGGACAGGGCGTTGGCCTCAGCGTTCTCCGACCTCGATACTTGCCTGATGAAGTGTGATGGAAAGTTGAGCAGAGCCTCTCTTACTTTGACTAAGTAGGCAATCATAGTTGGTTCGCGAGATTCGTATTCGCCTGTGACCTGATTGGCCACGAGCTGGGAATCGCTGCAGATGATGATATGCTTGGCTTTCACTTCGTTGGTTAGAGCTAGCCCGGCTATCAATGCTTCGTACTCTGCTTCATTGTTGGATGTCGCGAACTCGAAGCATAGTGCACACTCCAATTTCGTGCCACTTGGACCATGTAGAACTATTCCCGGGGGACATGCCCGGTGGGAATACTTCGATGCTTAAGTTAGAACGCTGGGAAAAAAATAGTAAAGAGTGTAAAGAGGCTAAGAGTGTAGGTTGCACTAGATCAATGAGTGTTCAAGATTAGCTCGAGAGCAAGTAAGATGATTCAAGATCCAAAAATCAGATCCATGCCTTTCGACAAAGGGGCTTTTATAGGGGCATAATTGTCAAATCAAGCGTAACCGCCACTGGGCTTCTGTCGCAGCTGTTATCTGCTAGGGCTATGCAGGTGACCGTTGCAGGATACTACCCAATTGGATGAGTGACACGTCCCGGGAGGACAGGCACGCCACCATCTGTCGAGAGACGTGGGTGTAGTCTGTTGAATGGGCAGGGGCTGCGCCGTTAGTCTGGAGACGTGGCGCAGTCTGACGGGTATGGTATTGTCAGATAGAAGCTTCCTGAGAGTGTTGCGTTGCTTAGTCGCGAGCTACCTTGTCGCGTAGCGAGCTACTTTGTAGTGAGCTCGTAGGGGTATTTTGAGGTGACCCTTCTCAAGATCGTCTTTGGGGCAGTTTTTCTGCCTAAGTGTTGGAGCGAGCTGGTTACCCTAGCTCGCGAGTTGGGATAGTCTTGGAGTATTCCCTTTCAGTAGCTCGGGGAACCTTGAGCTCGTGTTGTAGCGAGCTCCCCTATAGCGAACTATCCTACGGGCTCGTTACTTAATTGCAGTTAGGCTGTGGTGCTGAGCTGTTGCTCATGCTGAGTCAGATCCACATGTCATCGTCTCAAGGGGTCGTGTCAAATCATTCTCCATCAACGAGGATGGACACAATTTATCGTCATCGGACGAGGATGAAGCAGAATTCTTGGCGACGTCCTGGCTATTTTCAATTAACGATTGCAGAAGGCAAAGAATGAAGATTTCCCGCCATAAAAGAATATAGGCCGTCCGAGAATTGAAGTTTGTGTTCTTAAATTCATAGACTTCGAACTCTTCACGAGATAAAAAAACAACTAAATTCTGAGAGAAATTTATACAAAACAAATAGAGATAGAATGCATTTGGTTCACACTGATGTAATTGAGTCGTATAGCTTTTTCAAGGCGGGAAACCCTAAAAAATCTGAAGAGCCAATTTGCTTGTTCCGTGCCTCCATGGTGAGCTGTGTCCGTCATCATGCTGAATCCGTTAGGGATGCAACTTGGGTCGGGCTAGCCTGAACCCATCACAAAAAGCAATTGATTGGGTCGGGTGAAGCTCATGAATCCGGACCCTTCTTTTTTCATTTCATTTCATTTTTAAAAGTTGTTCTTATTCTCTAGACCGCCTTCCACCACTCCGACACCAATTGTATCCTGTGCATCTAGCAGGTGCGAACAAAGCGCAGATCTCCTGCAAGCAAAAACTCGCGCACACGGAATCCCGTCGCGTGCGAATACATCCTTGCCCACGTCGCATACTGTTAAAACCTACCAAAAGAATACCCTTTAGTCAACCTGCCTCTTTTATTTTCAGTTTGTTTAGTTTTCCCTTTCTCTTGACACTGATTAATGAAGTTTCAGTTGAGTTCATATCCGCCGCATATTATAAACATTTTCCGATGATAGTACCAGTCCGGTATATGTTGTCAATACATGGCAGGAATGTGCTGTGGGGGGTTCTGGGGCGGTTCCTTATGGCGCGGAGATGTGATCTTGTTTCAGTTGCCGTTATAGTTGTCCAGGCAACACTTAGGCGGGCGACCAGCGGTTTTCCATGGGTGTCTCGCCCAAACGCCCCGGATTTTGTATACTAGGCGCATACATGTTTTATTCTTTTAAAATAAAACCGGTTACATATTATCATTATTTTATTATTAAGACAACAATAGAAAGCCATTTTTTTTTTCTCTTTCTTCTTCGGTTACCTGCATAAGGGTTTTTTCGGTTATTGGTGAGGGAGGAGAACCGAAGACTTCATCCCCCCGCCCAATTCCATCGCACCTCTGCTTCAGCAGGTAAGTTTTTCTCTTCTTCTTATTCTTTTCTTCTTCTTTCTTCTTCCAGTCCAGCTTCAGTCATTTTTTGCTTTTTATTACGAAAAAACAGGGGCTCCGCCCCTATACTCCTCCCTTCCTCCACAGCTCCACTCATTCTTCTTCTTCTTCCGCCCCTGATTGTTATCAGTTGCTAGTCCTAGTCTCAGTCCTTTTTTTTTTTTTTTGAAAAAACAGGGGCTCCGCCCCTGACTGCTCTCAGTCGATAGTCTCAGACTCTCAGTTCCTTTTTTTTTTAAAAAAAACAGGGGTCTATACTCCTCCCTGCCCCTAATCCCCTATACTTCTTCTTCCGCCCCTATACTCCTCTCCTCCCTTCTAGTTACTGCACTTATTTATTTATTTTTTCAGTTAATAGTTAGTGTACATGCTTGCTTGTTAGTGTATAGTTAGTGTACTGTGTACATGCTTGCTATATACGAAATTTATAGTTTTATACTCATTTGAATGATTTATAGAGCTAATAGTTAGTGTACATGCTTGCTAGTTAGCACACAAAACCAATAAAATAGCTTACAAAARCATAGATAAAGTAAAAACTCAAGAAAATTAATATTTTAAAATTCCAACGCCTAGGCGCCCTGTGGTCGCCTAGCCTCGCCTTGATGCCTTGAAAACTATGGTTGCCATGCTTCTAGGAAGTTGTCACTGATTAAGGTACATACTACTTTGCTTACCCTCCCCCTTATTTTTTCCTTTCTCTTTCATGATTGGGATTATTCAATAGTATGACTAATTGGTTGTGCTTGACTGATAAACTTGCATCTTCAGCAATTTCCACTTATCGTGGAGAGTGCTGGTTATTGATGCAATCTTTAGTTTTGCTTTTGTATTTTTATTTGTTGGTGAAAGCTCATCACCATTGCTCTGCATCTCTTGTTATTTAATGAAATTTTCTTTTTACTATTAAAAAATATGTTATATCAAAAGATTGTGGAAATAACACTCCATGAGTACACATGACTTCATAGGTTTTTGGTGATTAATGACACAATTATGACCATGCTATCTGACTCACCACCATCCTTCTACTAGGGCTTTTCTTCTTGTTCACAGTAGCAGATGCTGTATAGCTGATCAATAAAAAAGTAGCTGATGCTGTATATAAGGGTGTCAATGGACCGGTTTTGGACTGGATCCCATACAATCCAAAATCAATTTGGACAGATTGGATGGACCAACAAGACATATTGGATTGGACCAATCCAGTCCAAAATATTTATTAGATTGGATTGGACTTGGTCCGTCCGTAGTAAATTTATATTGGATTGGGATGGATTAATTAAGCCAATATCTTGTCCATTGATATAAGACAAGAATATAAGTGTCAATTGACCAGGTTTGGGTTGAAACCAATCTAAATTAAAATGAATTTGAACAGATTGGGTAGTCCAGACATTGAATTGGACTGGTCCAAAATGGTCCAAAATATTCATTGGATTGGATTGGACCTGGTCCATTTGTAATGGACTCGCATTGGACTGGATCAGATTGGACCAAATCCAGTCCAAAATTGACACCCCTAGCTGTATATGTCTCTTGTAGAACATTTCTACTTATTAGTTATTGCTTTCTTGTGTTCATCAGGTGTTTGATATCCAAAGATGCGATGGATGGACAAAGAAGACATAGAATATTAATGGTGTCTGACTTCTTCTACCCCAACTTTGGTGGTGTGGAGAATCACATTTATTATTTATCACAGTGCCTGCTTAAGCTTGGTCACAAGGTCAGGCTAAAGCACCAATCAGTCATGGAACTATATATGGTTATTGATATATGCTCTTTAGCTTCTTTTACTCGGTAGCAGTTAGACAATATGATTCTGTTGTCCAATGACATGGACATGTTCTGTTTAATTCTTCTTTTTTTTGGTAATAATTCTGTTTATGAGATTTTTGTTAGATTATCCTACCTTGGGGTTCTTATTAGATTGAAGTAAGCATTATACATATCATTGTAGAAGAATTCTTATCTTCTTCATCTGCCTTATTCCACCTACATGGGCCAGCTTGACAATTCTTATTCTTTCGTTTTGTTCTATCTAGGTAATATCTTCTTTTTAAGAATGAGCTGCCTGATCTCCTGTGAAGCCTTATTTATGGATCATATCATTTTTTTTGATAAATAACATCAATTCCATTAAAATAATGAATAGATACAAGAAGATCCCCTTAGAGGCGCGAGGAGCAGCCTCTCCAAACAGCAAATACACAAACTACAACAAAGAAAACATGAATGTTGAAATTAAAACAATAGTTACAATTTTGCCCATAACAATATTTCCCTATTTATCCCTTGTTTTGCCAAGACATCAGCAAAAGCATTAGTTGATCTCCCAACCCATTGTACTGTTATAGACATATTTCTTGTCAGCCATTTGAATTTCTTTAACTCATTTTTGTAGCCCCAAGTGACATTCTCTGGATTATTTAACCAGTCCACCACTGTCTTAGAGTCTCCTTCAATCAGAAGCTGTTCCATGCCCACTTCTTTTGCAAGAAGTATTCCTTGTATTGCAGCTAGCAGTTCTGCCAGGATAGAGTTCCCAACTCCTAAAGGGCCAGAGTAGATTAAGACAACCTCTCCAGCCTCATTCTTCAGTACACCTCCCATCCCAGAGGGACCTGGATTACCCTAGCTACTCCAATCAAAGTAAAGCTTCAAAGAACCAAGAGGAGGGGGGACCCAGCTAGTCACTGCCCTTCTCTTGGAGGAGGAACAGCTTTCTACCAACTTCCAATCCTTCCAACAATCAGAAAAAGTAAAATGGTTAAATAATTCTAGAGTCTTTAACCAATGTAAAGACCTGGATAAAATTCAGTCCTTTAAGGTTTGACTGCTTCTTCCTTTTTCTTGGAAGATTCTAGCATTCCTTTCTTCCCATACTGTCCATAACAATGCTACTCGTGAGCAT